CCTTCTGGGAGTCTGGAATTTTACTATGTGCTCCTGAGAGTGTACCTATGTGACCAGTCTCCAGTAAAGACATTGGGCAATAGATAAATATCATAGCCAGTTGATTTTCAACAATGGTGCCAAATCAATTCAATGGGAAAAGAATAGCTTCATCAACAAATGATACTGAGACAACTGGATTTCCATATGCATAAGAGTTAAACTCAATCTCACACTATATATGAAAATGAACTCAACATGGACCAAAGACCTTCATATAGGACCTAAAGCCATAAAACTCTTAGAAAAGAAAATAGAGGTAAATCTTCAGCCCTCGCATTTAGCAATGGATTCTTAGATACAAAGCCAAACCATGAACAACAGAAGAAAAAAATGGATAAACTGGACTTCATCAAAATTAACACCTTGGTGTATCAAAAGACATTACCAAAAACAGTGAAAAGATAACCAACCTACAGAATGGAAGAAAATATGTGTAAAACGTATAACTAGCAAGAGCCTAATAATCCAGAATATTTAAAGAACTCATACAACTCAACTGAAAAATATGCACTTAAATAGGCATTTCTCTAAAGAAGATACATAAATGGCCAATAAGCACATGAAAACATGCTCAATGTTATTAGGGAAATGCAAAGCTAAACCACAATGGGATACCAGTTCCCACATCCTTTACTGATCTCTTTTACAGTTCACTAGGATGGCTACTATCAAAAATTGGAAAATAACCAGTCTTGTCAAGGACATAGAGAAAGGCTGGCAGTTCAAACCCACCAGCCACTCCTCGGAAGGAAGGTTGGGTAATCTAATCTACTTCCATAGTGATACCACCTCGGAAACCCAAGGAGGGGTTGCTATGAGTCGATTAGGACTCTAGGGCAGTGGGTTTGGTTTGGTTTTTTTTTAGCGCAGTGCTGATGGGAATGTAAAATGGTTGCCACTGAGAAAAACAGTGTGGTAGTTCCTTAGAGAGTTAAACATAGAATTATCATACGACAAAGGACAAATATTGCATGATCCTACTTATAACAACCCTATACAGGCAAATGCATAGAGATAGGGAGTAGATTAGTAGTTACTGAGGGCTAAGAGTAGGGGTGAGTAAGTTACTGCTTAATGGGTATAGACTTTCTGTGTGGGCTGAGGGAAAAGTTTTGGAAATAAATAGTGGTGAAGGTTGCAACAAAAAAAGCAAACAAAACACACCTTGGGCGCTGAGTCTTTAACGAGCTTCCCCAGTAGACAACATTTCACCATTTTCATAATTCAGTGCTACAGGAATTAAGTACATTCTGTGTGACTCCATTGGAGTTGTAAGCCTAGTTTCTTCCAGACTTTGCCCCACATGCCTTTTTCCTTTGCTGATTTTGCTTTGTATCATTCCACTGCAATAAACTGCAGCTATGAGCATGACTATATGCTAAGTACTGTGAGTACTCCCAGAGAATCACCAAACCTAGAGGTGGTCTTGAGGCCCTGACACAACTAATCTCCCTATTTCTTTGATTTTCGAACTATTTGCCAGTTTCTCTACTGGGGCAGCAAACCAACTAAGTTAGTAGAACACAGTCCAATTATAAAAAATACCAATTTATTAAAAATCAGCCCTTCTTAGCCAAAGATAGTTGCAGATTTACATATTATTTGCTTTTTTTTTTTTGGCCTTTTTTGATTCAACATCTCAAAACACAGAAATCTTGCTTTCTCACAATTATTTAATGAGGCCTCTTTCCTGATGAAACTTCAGCCTGTTCTTCCCTAACTCTCATCTCTCACTACCTCATGGAGTGTCCACTGAAACATCAGATGGGCTAACCCAGTGCCATTTCAGTCCCCGACTAAAAGGCAGCATCACTTGCAAAGTCCCCAGTGTCCTCTGCTTGGTGTTGTGATGAGTCAGAGCAAGCACTATAAATTGCCAGGAAGATCTCTTTTACAGTTCACTAGAATATGCAGGTGAATGACGCATTTGAATTATGATGCTGGGGAAGAATACTGAATATCCCACGGGCTGTGAGAAGAATGAACAAACCTGTCTTGGAAGAAATATAGCAAGAATGACCCTCAGAAGCAAGGATGGCAAGACTTCATCTCTCGTACCTTGGACATATTCTCAGGGGGAGCAGTCCCTGGAGGAGAGCATCATACTTGGTAAAGTAGAAGGTCAGGAAAAAAGAGAAGCCCCTCAATGAGATGGATTGACACAGTGGCTGCGACAATGGGCTCAAGCGCAGCGACAGTTGTGAGGACGGCGCAGGACCGGACAGCGCTTTGTTCTGTTGTTCCTAGGGTCTCTGTGAGTCTGAGCCAATAGGAAGGCACCCAACAAGAAGGGAATATGCAGAAATGCAAACTGCAAGGAAGGCAACCCAAGAATGGCTCACAGAGGAAACTGAAATACAAGTTTTGCAATACCAGACTTGAAAAAAAAAAGTTTAACTGAATTTCTCACCATCTAGAACAGAATTTCTCAGCATATTTCAAAAAGCCCAATACTTAATAGGAAGAATTTCAATAAAAGCTTTGTTTCCTATCCTGTTGAGGGAGCTGGGGTCCAGAAAGCGCAGAAAGGATGGGCATCTGTCTGAGATTAAGATTGATAAGAGTTTAATAAAGTATAGTGGAATATTATACCATATTTGATTGCCATGAAGAAACTAGGAATCATAGTTACTACATCAATGGACAGCCTCCCCACTGTTTTTCTTTTGAAAACAAGAGGGCTATGAACAAATTAAAATAACTATCTTTAGGACTGCTTATTTTAACCCCTAAATGGTGCCCATGGTCTTTCTAATCCATCTCTAGAATCTTTTTATTTTTTAAAACACATACAGGTTTTATTTTTAAAGACAGAGTCAGAATAATGAAGTTCTGAATACTCTTCCGTATTATGTTCCTGTCTAGCTACTACTCATCTCTAAGGTCTAGACCCTCCCTGACATTGCCCTCCTCAAATCCACACAATATACTGTATGAACTCCACATCCCCACTCTTCCAAAACTGCCCTGACAAAGATCATTGTCTATAAGCGCTAATAACCTCCCCAAACTCCTCTTAAACACTGATGTTTCCTGGTGCTACATTCTTGACACTTTTCTTTATATTCTCAACTTGGGTTATTTCACCCACATCATGCCTTTATGGGGAGCTCTGTTAGCACAGTGGCTAAGGCATTTGACTGCTAACTAGAAGCCTGGAGGTTCAAATCCACCAGCCACTCCTCAGAAGGAAGATTGGACAATCTACTTCAGTAGTCATACTGCCTCGGAAACCCAAGGAGTGGTAGCTATGAATCGAATCTGACTCAACAGCAGTGAGTTTGGGTTTTTTTTTGAGTATGCCTTTATGAGTAGCTGCCCATACATTTGTTGTTGTGGTTGTTATGTGCCATCAAGTCGGACTTGACTCTTAGCAACCCCTCCTTGGGTTTCCAAGGCAGTATCACTACAGAAGTAGATTGCTCAACCTTCCTTCTGAGGAGTGGCTGGTGGGTTTGAACCACCAGCCTTCTGGTTAGCTCATACATAGAGCCTTCTATTTTTAACATTATTTTTGAAATGCTTGTCAATTCTCCTGAATTTATGAAATGGGTCAATTTATTCATTCAGCAAATATATACTGATTATGTGGCATGTACCAGGCTCTGTGTTAGGCATAGGAAATGCTGGATGCCTGTAACTCAATGGAGAGAGAAAGAAATGAAGCAGAATACTAAGAGCACTGCCAGGAAAGGACCTTGGAAAAGATGAGGCCATAGCACTAACTATAAGAATGGCAGATGGCATGAGCCCTCAGCCAGTTAGACAATAAGCAAGAATAAGGCTTGTTGCTGTTATGCACCATCGAGTCACCCGACTCCTAGTGACCCCTCCTTGGATTTCCGAAGCAGTATCACTACAGAAGTAGATTGCCCCATCTTCCTTCTGAGGAATGCCTAGATGGTTTGAACAGCCAGGCTTCTGGTTAGCAGTCAAGTGCCTTAGGCACTATGCTACCAGAGCTCCCAAGAATAAGGCAGGACAGAACAATGACCCCAAGCAGCTTCTGAATGGGAGGTCACAGAGAGAGAAAAGACCCAGGTAACAGTATTTTTTATAACACAACTTCTAGGGGTAGAGAGATGGAAGCCAGAATACTCCACCACCGAAAACAGGGAACTCAGCACATTAATACCAAAAGGGAAAAAAAAAAACAGTGAGCTATTCCTGGCCTTGCAAAGGCATCTAAAAGCCAGGGAGAAAGTTGTCATGTAAGAATTCAGCTCAGTAGTTTAAGAACTCTTGTTTGTTGCAAAACCAAAACAAATCTGTCTTAGAAGAAATATAGTCGGAATGCTTCTTAAAAGCAAGGACGATGAGACTTCATCTCACGTACCTTGGACATGTTATCAGGGTGGACCAGTCCCTGGAGAAGGGCATCATAAAGTACAGGGTCAGAAAAGAGAAGATGACCTTCAATGAGATGGTTTAACACAGTGGCTGCCACAATAGGCTCAAACATAGCATGATTGTGAGGATGGCTCAGGGCCAGACAGTGTTTCTTTCTGTTGTACACTGGGGTGTTTTACGTTGGTACAAACTCAGTAGCACCTAGCAACAACATTTGTATAAAGTGATGGACAGACACACAGCTTACATGTGCTAAACATTTTGATACATAAGGTAGTTTATGGCAAAAAGCCATATACTCAATATACTTAATGAATTCCATAAGGATCTAACACTGATGTAGAAATTTATTTTCTTTAACAGATTAATTTACTAGTGTGATATAAAAGGTATACTTATATGTACTAAACCTATAATCAATAGAACTGTGAATTTTTCTACACATACTCTTGACTGAATCTTTTAATTCCAAATGATAACAAATCATTACCTTCATTTCATTAACCCAAAGCTTTTTTGTAAGACTGGAGAGAGGAGGGAGTCGAGAACAGTATTATAAAACAGTATCAACACGGAAAACAGCAAAGTACATTGTGATTATCTCCTACCTCTGCTCGACCTTCATAGTAGGTTAGCATGGACTTTGTAAGTACAAAAAGTCTCTCTTTGTAGTTTAAGGGTGATGTCTTCTTTTTCTGTTGTGACCTTTTAATAAGAATCTCCTCTAGAATAGTGTTCAAACTCATCTCGGTCTTCTGATCACTCCTTCTCCTGCCATTGAAAATCCCAGTATTCTAAAGAGAGAAAATAAATAGCTAAAATAAAATGTGACATTTGAATTTTTCAAAGACGTTGCCATCTCAAATGACTGAATAGGCTTGGCCCTTACCACAGCTGGAGCAGATGAATGTTAGTCTGTGCACCTGGACTGTGACTGCCCAGGGCACAAATCTCAACCTACCTGCCTACCCTATCTCCATTCTGCTCTTCCATGTCCCCATAAAGGTTTGTCATAATGATGATCTATTCCTTTGTACCTCCCTAGCATCTCTCAGCTTTCTGGCACATTCAGCCTCTGCTCTTTGATTGCAAAGAAACAAATATTTCAAGTGGAAAAGTAGATTTCATCACCTGCATGGCTGCTTTAGGCTGGTATTTCAATTCCCTCAGGATCCTGGTAAACCAAATGAAATGGATGACCACATTAACCAGATAGACTTTTAAACAAAGTGAATTATCGCACTAGTGGATATAATTTGACCTCCAGCTCTGATAAAGATGTAATCTTTCAAAACATCCTGGTCACCAGAGTGACAAGGATGCTCTCTGACCTCTATACTACTTTGTTTTACAGTTCTTTGTCATATAGTTCTGCCTCAACCATATAAGAAAAGGAAACCCACAAAATCACAGTTAACCCTATTCATGGCAGAGCCTATCTGGATAAGAAGAGCTGCAGCCCTGTATATGGAGCCCCTTATTCATTATGCTAAGAAATTCAGAAGACAACTACGTGGCCAATCGACTAGAAAAGATCCATATATGTGCTGATTCCAAAGAAAGGCAATCAAATGGAATATAGAAATTATCAGGCAGTATCATTAATATCACATGCCAGCAAAATTCAAACACAAGTGCAGCCATACATCAACAGGGAACTGCCAGAAGTTTAAGCTGGATTCAGAAGAAGATGTGCGATGAGGGTTATCACTGCCACCATCAGATGGATCTTGGATGAGAGTAGAGAAAATCAGACAGATGGCTAGATGTTGCATTGGGCAAATGATAACTGCTACAAAATATCTCTTCAAAGTTTTAAAAGGCAAAGATGTCACTTTGATGACTAAGGTGCACCTGACCTAAGCACGGTCTTTTCAATTCCTTCATATACATGGGAAATATGGATAATGAGAAAAGGAAGACAGGGAAGAACTGATGTGTTCTAATTGTGATGCTGGTAAAGAATACTGAATATATCATAGACAACCAAAAGAACAAACAAGTCAGTCTTTGAAGAAATACAACCAGAATGCTCCTTAGAAGCAAAGATGGAGAGACTTCAACTTTGGACACATCATCAAGAAAGGTGAATTGCTAAAAAAAGGACACCACATTTGATAAAGCAGAAGGCCAATAAAAATAAGGAAAATCTTCAATAAGATGGATTGACACAAGAGCTGCAATAGCAGATGCAAACACATCAAAAATTATGAGACAGCACAGCACCAGGCAACATTTTATTCTGTTACACTTAAGGTTCCCATGAGTCAGAGCTGACCTGGCAGCAACTAACAACAGCCTCCAAACTACTCATACCTGGACTAATTAAGCCTCTTAAAATTGAGCACAATTTTACTACCTGAAAACCCAAAGATACTCAAAGAAAACCTGACAATACTTATTTGAAACAAGTTGAATTAACAACAGTCTTTTCTTTCTACCATACCTTTGTAAGATGCACATTAAATTGTAGAGACAAGAAGAGTCACATGAAGAGCATTAAGTGATTATCTGACAGCGTCGTCAGGCACGTGACTCTGAGATTAAAAAAAAATACACAGTTGCCATGGAGTTGACTCCAACTCATGGTGACCACATATACGTCAGAGCAGAATTGTGTGCCATCAATTTTCAAGGACTGATATTTTTGAAGCAGATCACCAGGCCTCTCGCCCATGGCACCTCTGGTGAATTTGAACTTTCCAACTTTTCAGTTAACAGCCAAGCATGTTTACATTTGCATTATCCAGGGACTCCTAATCCTGAGATAGCCACTGAGAAATTCTACCATCTTTACATGCAGTCTTACACCACAGAAGCACCCACGCAACTTCCCATTACTGATCTGTTGTCATCCAATCAGGTCCCTCCATGTTTGGCAAGATCACTTTACAACAGCTTAACTTCTCTGAACATCAGTATGGAGGTAAATACCACCCAGTTATTGTGAGGTTTAATGAGATGTGGGAAAGAAATTTTTTAATTATAAAAATGCTGTGCAAATGTTTATTATTATTTTCAGTTCCACTGCCATTTTCCTAACTCAGAGAATTACCACCACTTCACACCTGGGCCTCCATAGTAGCTTTTCAATTGGTCTTCCTTTCCCCAGGCTCTTGCCTCATTTTATTTAAACTGTATATTCTTCATTCACACTGGGTCAGTCTTCAAAGACAACAACTTTCATCATGCCATTTCATTCAGAAATCCCCAGTGCCTCATCAGTGACTCCCACTGCCTGCAGAATAAAGTAGATATTGTCCACAACTTGGCTGTGACCTAACATCCAATCTTGACTTCCACTGTTGGCCAAACACTGCACATGCCAGTCAAAACAGTCTGAATGGCCAGTGGCTCCCATCACAGTACTTATTCCCTTGGCATAAAGAGTCTCTTTTTCTTGTCTCTCCACCTAAGAAAACCCCAGCAGCTCAAACTAATCTCCTGGATGAAGCCTTTTCTTAAGACCCCAATTAATTACAAACCTTTCAATTTCTGGACCCATAATCTCTGCATCACTCCTCACAGAACTCCTCATATTGTTCCATGTTCTATAGCAATGAATGTAAATGGTTTACCTTCTCACATAGATCATAAAAAATTATGGATAACACTGAGAAGAATGGGAATTCCAGAACACTTCATTGTAATCATGAGGAATCTGTACATAGACCAGGACGCTGTCATTTGAACAGAACAAGGGGATACTGCATGGTTCAAAATCAGAAGGGAGTGAATCAGGGTTGTATCTTTCACCATACTTATTCAACCTGTATATGGAGCAAATCATCAGAGAAGCTGGACTATATGAAGAAGAACGTGGCATCAGGATTGGCAGAAGAATCATTTGTTAATGATTGATCTGAGATATGCAGATGACACAGATTTGCTTGCTGAAAGGGAAGACAACTTGAAGCACTTACTGATGATGATTAGAGACTACAGTCTGCAGTATGGATTATACCTCATGATAAAGAAAAGAAAAATCCTTACAACTGGATCAATAAGTAGCATCATGATAAATGGAGAAAAGATTGAAGTTGTCAAAGACTTCATATCACTTGGTTCTACAATTGACACCAATGGAAGCAGTGGTCAAGATATCAGACAACATATTGCACAGGGCAAATCTGCTACAAAAGACTTCTTTCAAATGCTGAAGAGCTAAGATGTCTCCTTGAAGACTACCCATGCCATGGTGTTCTCAATTGTCCCATATGCATGTGAGAGCTAGACAATGAATAAGGAAGACCAAAGAAGAGTTGATGCTTCTGAGTTGTGGTATTGGTGAAGAATGCTGAAAGTACCATGGACTGCTAAAAGAACTAACAAATTTGTCCTGGGATAACTGCATTGAGAATGCTCCTTGGAAGCAAGGATGGCCAGACTTCATCTTACCTACTTTGGTCATGTTGTCAGAAGGGACCATTCCCTAGAGAAGGATATCATGCTAGGTAAAGTGGAGGGTCAATGAAAAAGAGGAAGGTCCTCAAGAAGATAGATTGACACAGTGGCAGCAACAATGGGCTCAGGTACAGCAAGGATCATGGGGCTGGCACCAGACCAGACAGTGTTTCGTTCTGTTATACACCGGGTCACTATGAGTTGGAGATGACTTGATGGCATCTAACAACAACATGCAAAGGCATTAGACTGTGTGGATCATAACAAATTATGGATAAGATCACCAAGAATAGAAACTCCAGAACACATAATTGTGCTAATGCAGAACCTGTACATAAACCAAGATGCAGTTGTTCAGACAGAACCAAGGGATACTGCATAGTTTAAAATCAGAAAAGGTGTGCATTAGGGTTGTATCCTTTCACCACATGTATTCAATCTGTATGCTGAGCAAATAACATAAGAACCTGAACTATATGAAGAAAGATAGAACATTAAGATTGGAGGAAGACTCAATAACCTGTGATATACATATGATACAACATTGCTTGCTAAAAATGAAGATGAGTTGAAGCACCTACTGATGAAGACAAAAGACTACAGCCTTCAGTATGGATTACACCTCAACATAAAAGAAAACAAAAATTCTCACAAGTGGACTAATAAGCAATATCATGATTAATGGAGAAAAGATTGAAGTTGTCAAGGATTTCCTCTTACTTTGATTCAGAACCAATGCCCATAGAAGCAGCAGTCAAGAAATAAAACAACATATTGATTTTGGCAAATCTGATGTAAAAGACCTCTTTAAAGTGTTAAAAAGCAAAGATGTCACTTTGAAGAATAAGGTACACCTGACCCAAGACATAGAATTTTCCATTGCCTCATACACATGTAAAAACTGGACAATAAATAAGGAAGACCGAAGTGATGCCTTTGAATTAGTGTTGGTGAAGAATACTGGGTATACCATAGATTGCCAGAAAATGAACAAATAATGTCTTGGAAGAAACATAGCCAGAATGCTCCTTGGAAACAAAGATGGTAAGACTTTGTCTCATATACTTTGAACACATTATCAGGAGACTGGTTCCTGGAGAAGTACATCATATTTGCTAAAATAGAGGGTCAGCAAAAAAGAGGAAGACCTTCAATGAGTGGCTGCAACAATGGGCTCACGCAAAGCAACAACTGCGTGGCTGGCACAGGACTGGGCAGTGTTTCATTCTGTTGTACACAGGGTTGCTATGAGCTAGAACCTACTCAACAGCACCTAACAACAACATTCATATAAAGTGATGGACAGAGACATGTTTATATGCACTAAACAACAACAAAGGAA